GCACCTGTCATCACACCGTTACTTTTTTGTATTTTTAGTAGAAATAGGGTTTCACTATCTTGGCCAGGCTGGTCTTGAACTCCTGACCTCGTGATCCACTGCACCTGGGTTTGTTTTTGTTTTTGTTTTAAGACAAGAGTCTCACTCTGTTACCCAAGCTAGAGTGCAGTGGCGCAATCTCAGCTCACTGCAACCTCCGCCTCCCGGGTCCAAGCAATTCTCTTGCCTCAGTCTCCTAAGTAGCTGGGATTACAAATGCATGCCACCACACCTGGCTAATTTTTATATTTTTAGTAGAGACAGGGTTTCACCATGTTGGCCAGGCCGGTCTCAAACTCCTGACCTCAGGTGACCCGCCCACCTCAGTCCCCCAAAGTGCTGGGATTACAGGCCTAAGCCACTGCCTAGCCCCTTGCCTATTTTCAAAAAATTTTTTTCTCATTGAGTTTTAGGAGTTCTCTATATTCTATTAATCCCTTATAAGATATATGATTTGCAAATATTTTCTCCCATTCTGTGGATTGCCTTTTTTTTCTGTCAATAAGTGTCCTTTTTTTTTTTTTTTTTTTAAAGAGATAAGATCTTGCTCTGTCACCCAGGCTAGAGTGTAGTTGTGCAATCATAGCTCACTGTAACCTCTAACTCCTGGGCTTAAGCAGTCCTCCTACATCAGCCTCCTGAGTAGCTAGGACTACAGTCAAGCACGCCCCAACTACCTTTCTTTAAAAAAATATATATATATATTGTAGAGATGGGGTCTTGCTATGTTGTCCAAGCTGGTCTTGAACTCCTGGTCTCAAGCAATTCCCTTGTGTAAGCCTCCCGAAATGCTGGAATTACAGATGTGATCCATAGTGACTTGCCTGATAATGTCTTTTTAAAAAATTTCTTTCTAGAAGGAATGGAGACAGAGTTTTACTATGTTGCTCAGGCTTGTCTTGAACTCCTGGGCTCAAGTGATGCTTCCACCTGAGCTTCCCAAAGTACTGGGATTACAGGCCTGAGCCATCACACCCGGCCAGTAGTGTCTTTTTATGTGAAATTTAGTGCCTTTAATTTTCATGAAGTCCAATTTCCCTTTTTTTAAATTTTAATGTTGATGACTTTGGTGTCATATCCAAGAAACTGCTACCAAATCCAATGTTGTGAAGATATTCCCTATATTTAATTTTAAGCTCTTACAATTTAGGTCAATATTGAGCTAACTTTTGTATATGATTTTTGGTAAGGTTCCAGCTTCACTCTTGTGGATATCCAGTTTCTAGGCACCAACCATTTGTTGAAAAGACTGTCCTTTCCATAGCCTGGGTGATCCTCTTGCCTCAGCCTCTCAAGTAGCTGGGACTACAGGTGTGGGCCGCCACACCCTACTTTTTTTTTTTGAGACAGAATTTTGCTCTTGTTGCCCAGACTGGAGTGCAATGGCGGGATCTCGGCTCACCGCAACCTCCGCCTCCTGGGTTCAGGCAATTCTCCTGCCTCAGCCTCCTGAGAAGCTGGGATTACAGGCACGCGCCACCATGCCCAGCTAATTTTTTTGGATTTTTAGTAGAGACGGGGTTTCACCATGTTTACCAGGATGGTCTCCATCTCTTGACCTCGTGATCCACCCGCCTCGGCTTCCCAAAGTGCTGGGATTACAAGCTTGAGCCACGGGCCCGGCCCACGCCCTACTTTTTAAAAACAATTGTTTTAAAAACTCTTTATCAGTCCCAGATAAAGATGTTGCCTAAGGAGTCTAAGTCCTTTGGTCCCACCTGAACCAAATGCTGAATGGAACCACTTTTGATGACCTCCACTACTGCCTGAGGTCCAAGTCATTGCCATTTTTTGCCCATTCTACTGCAGTGCCCCACCGATCTGTCCACACTGGGTACAGCCACCCACCCCTTCTCTGTATCAGGTTCCTCAGCCTTTGTGGGTCCCTTTCTCCAGCTGACAGTTGAGCCTCTTCATCCGGGCCTGGGCTCAGACACTGAGGCCTTCCCCACCTCCCTGCCCAAGGTAAGTGTCCAGCACAAGTACTTGATAGCAGTGGTTTTTTGCTTTTTTGTTTTTTTTGAGACAGAGTCTGACTCTGTCACCCAGGCTAACCTCCTGGGTTCAAGCGATTCTCCTGCTTCAGCCTCCTCAATAGCTAGGACTACAGATACGTGCCACCACACCGGGCTAATTTTTTGTATTTTCAGTAGAGATGGAGTTTCACCATGTTAGTCAGGATGGTCTTGATGTTCTAAACCCGTGATCTGCCTGCCTTGGCCTCCCAAAGTACTGGGATTACAGGTGTGAGCCACCCCGCCCAGCCGACAGCAGTCCTTTTTAGAACAGTAGATTTCATGTTAGGTTGTAAAATCAGTTCAGTAGGTCATGGCCGACAGTTTTGTTTTCAACTTTTTATTTTGAAGTAATTATAGATTCACAGGAGGTTGCGTAAGAGGTCGTTCAGGGAGGTCCTGCATACACCCTTGCCCCAGCCTCCCCCAGTGTTAGCACCTTATACACTATAGTACAGTGTCAGGACCCAGAAATTTGACATTGGCACAGTCTACAGATCATATTCAATTTCCCCAGTTATATCTGCACTCCTTTGCATACCTAAGTCTACGCAATTTTAACTTCATGTGTAGCCCTGTGTAACCACCAGAGTCAGGCTGCACAGATGGTTTTCAACACCACAGGACTCCCTCATGTGACCCATCCCCCTACCATCCCTAACCTGACCCAGATAACCTTTGTTTCCCATCTCTATAATTACATTTCACCAATATTACATAAATGAAATCATGCTACGTGTATGTTTTCAAGATTGGCTTTTACTCTGAATAATTTCCTTGAGTTTCATCTGAGTTGCTATGTGTATAGCAGTGACTGAAAATGGAACTATATCACACACAGTATGGATATATATTGTTTTGTACTTCAACAATAAACTGTACATAACAGTCCATGCCAGATAATAATGTAAAATGCTTATTATATCTGTGGGGTTTTGTCCAAAACATTTATTTTTATTCTTATAATATTTATTTATTGGGCCGGGCATGGTGGCTCAAGCCTGTAATCCCAGAACTTTGGGAGGCCGAGCCGGGTGGATCACGAGGTCAAGAGATCGAGACCATCCTGGTCAACGTGGTGAAACCCCGTCTCTACAAAAAATACAAAAAATTAGCTGGGCATGGTGGCACATTCCTGTAATCCCAGCTACTCAGGAGGCTGAGGCAGGAGAATTGTCCGAACCCAGGAGGCGGACATTGCGGTGAGCCGAGATTGCGCCACTGCACTCCAGCCTGGGTAACAACAGCGAAACTCCATCTCAAAAAAAAAAAAAAAAAAAAAAAATTTATTTAGAGATGGGGTCTTGCTCTGTTGCCCAGGCTGGAATGCAGTGGCATGATCATAGCTGACTACAACCTCAAACTCCTCTCCTCAAGTGATCCTTCTGGCCTCAGCCTCCCAAGTAGCTGAGATTACAGGTGTGAACCACCACATCTAGCTCCTATATAAAAAGTTTGAAAGATACTGCTCTTATTAATAGTATTCCTTTTCTTAATAACACCACCATAAAAAAATTTATCCAAACTGCTGCAGAAATGATCCCCATTTTATTTTTACTTATTTTGAGACAGGTTATCACTGTGTCACCCAGGCTGGAGTGCACTGGCACAATCATGGCTCACTGCAGCCTCAAACTCCTGGGCTCAAGTGATCCTCCAGCCTCAGCCTCTCAAATAGCTGGAACTACAAATGTGTGTATTTTTTGTAGAGATGAGGTCTTGCTATGTTGCCCAGGCTGGTCTCAAATTCCTGAGCTGAAGCAATCCTCCTACCTCAGCCTCTCAAAGTGCTGAGATAACAGCCGTGAGCCACCACACCCAGCCACCATTTTAAATTCCTATTTATTGATGTTTAATGCCTGTCTTTCCCCCATACTACAACAGAAACTCTTTGAAGACAACTTGTCCATTTCAAAACTGTGGTCTGTAAGCCTCAAACCCTGTCCAACATGTGGACACTCATAAATGTTGTGAAGAAATTGACACAGGAACAAATGCAGAAACATCCTGTCCAGGGAGATTATCTGTTGATGTGGAACTTGAGTAGTCAAGAAAGGCAAGATATGACAGTCGCACTATAGAGGCAGGACTTAATGCTTTCTAACAGAGCATGCAGCCACACACTGTACACCTTGCTAAATAAGCAGGTGGCAGGGAGCATGGCTGTACTGAGGGGAGGCTCTCACGGGCTAGGGTGCTGGCTGGCATGCCCAGGCTTTTGTTGCACTCTCCAGCCTTGCCCCAGGAACCCGAAGGTAGCTGCTGCAATCCCAGGCATCACATGCACTGCAAATTCATTTATTTTTGAGATGGAGTTTCACTCTGTTGTGCAAGTTGGAGTGCACTGGTGTCATCTCAGCTCACTGCAACCTGTGCCTCTTGGGTTCAAGCGATTCTCGTGTCTTAGCCTCCCAAGGAGCTGGGATTACAGGTGGGTGCCACCACACCCAGCTAATTTTTGTATATTTAGTAGAGGTGGAGTTCAACTTGCTGCCTGTGTCCAGGAAGAGAGCAGGGAGGGTGCTGGGCACGGAGCCAGCCTAGCCCTCAGCATCACACAACAGGGCCTGCTGAGGATGCAAAACCATTCTTAGTAATAAAGAGACTTCTTTGAGAAACAGTGTTTTTGGTGGTTCATACATTTTTTTTTTTTTTTTTTTTTTGAGACGGAGTTTTCGCTCTTGTTACCCACGCTGGAGTGCAATGGCGCGATCTCAGCTCACTGCAACCTCCGCCTCCTGGGTTCAGGCAATTCTCCTGCCTCAGCCTCCTGAGTAGCTGGGATTACAGGCACGCGCCACCATGCCCAGCTAATTTTTTGTATTTTTAGTAGAGACGGGGTTTCACCACGTTGACCAGGATGGTCTCGATCTCTTGACCTCGTGATCCACCCGCCTCGGCCTCCCAAAGTGCTGGGATTACAGGCTTGAGCCACCGCGCCCGGCTGTTCATACATTTTAAAACACCTACAAGAGAGTAAGCATACAAAATTCTTAAACTGTCCAGGTGCAACACTGTTATATATGAAATCTAACAAATGTGAATTTAATTTTCAGCTTCTATTTGAAATCAAATGAAACGGCTTTTCATACATTAACGACCGGGGAAACTCTGAGGGAAGGAGTCCTTAATTCCACGTCTTGGGCTTGGATTTCTTAAGCTGAGTCCACAAGCCCTCTTCATGCAAGGTTGTGTGTTCTGTAGCTGTGCGCCATTCCTGAAAAACCAAAGTCTCCAGGGGCCGACCTGGGAGCCGAAGAAGAGAAGCCTGCTGGTGCAGAAGGGCCAGCGAGCCCTGCCTGCTCAGCACACCCCCCTGCACATGCAGCAGAACTAAGCGAGGGGCCAGAGCACAGGGTGAGCACTCACAATGCTCACCAAATCGGGAGGTGGCAGGCGGTTTCCCAACAACTAGCAAAGGCATTCACAGTGGCACAACCGTTTAGCTACCTCATCATGACCCACCTGTGCAGGGCTACCCTTCAGGAGTTTACCTGAGAACCCTCGACCTCAGGACCGCCATCTCCTATGCTACTGTGCCCAGCCTGACCTGGCTGCTCACAAGTACCTGCCATAATGCTTGGCTTCCTGGAAGCTCTGGAGGAGTGCAATTGTCCAGCAGAACATCACAGTGTCATCGCCCCGCATGCAGGTAAGGGGTCAGCAAGCAGGGCTAGCAATGTCCTGCTCCATGTTCCAAGCCCGGCAAGAGCTCACAGCGAGCCACTACACTGTGTAGGCTAGTCACAGTCCCCAGGGCTGTGAAACAGCAATTTGAAACAGACCGAGGGAGGAAGCTGCACAGGCCAATGGCAGGGGTGCTTGTCACTCATCCTTCTCCTGCGGCAGAGGGAGGTGCCAGTCTGCAGGGGGGCTCTGCCTCAGGGCCCACACCAGGATGTGCTTCCGTGCAGCCTGGACTCGTGCCCGCTCGCTCTCACAGAGGGATCGCTGTGTAAATGAGACTCTAGTCACTCCCCAGGGCTCCGAGCACCCTCAAGACCCCTGTACCTCCCTTCTCATCGCCCTCTGAAACACAGTTGGACAGGCAGGGGCCTATGGTACCCACCACTCTGCAGCTCAGCTGCTTCCACCTATTACACCTCGGTGATTGTTCCACATTAGGACAAAGAGATCAGATCATTTTTTTCCCACAAGCTACTGTGAAAAACTACTGAACAGATCATCATAATTTGAGGAATATTAAAATATCTTCTCCTGGGCCTCAAGGGCTCAATGGCTTCGGTTGACCTCGTGAGTTTGGGGCAGACTCACGTGCTGAAAATAAGCCTGGGAGTGCTGAAAGAGCAGCTGTGGGGAGCTGCAGGAGGAGTATCGTAAGAAACGAGGAAGACAGGGAAGAAATACATGCCCAGGGTACCCTGGAAGGGTGGGAATGGACAGACCACCCACCTGAGGGGTGCCACAAGTGCCACTCAACCCATCAGCTTCTCCTGGTTACTGTCTCCCAATGCAGACGCAGGGCAGTGTATCACAACACGAGTGACCTTTGCTGTGGGCCCGTGGTAGGTATCAGGTGCTGTGTGAGCCTCTTTATCCAGATAATTTAATCTGTCTATGTGTCTGTCTTTATTCATGCTCTGTTGCCTCAAATAAAATATTTCCATCTTGTCTAGAAAGGTATCAGAAATATAGCACAGAATATGAAAGATTCCCAAACGTCCATTCCCAGTGCAGCAGTTAACAGCTTCCCTTTCTGGTCCAAATTTTACAGCTAACTTATGTTACCCTAATGATGGGAAAATCTTCTGCCGGCTAGTCTACTTCCTACTTTTTTCACCCAACAATGCACTGTGGGCACCATTCCATACCCAGCTAGATGACTGACCATTCTTTTCAAAGCCTATCCAGTATTTCACTTGGTGGAAAAAGCGCTTTGTTCAAATGTCTATTAGTGAAATTTAGGTTGTTTGCAGCTTTTGCAGTATCAAAAACATAATGAGCATTCTGAACTTTTAACTATACTGTTATCCAATTACTTCCCTAGGACAAAGTTCCAGAAGTAAAACTTAGGGGTCAAAAGTTATGCATCTGACATTTAGATAATCAGAACGCCTGACACTCCCACCAACACTGCACGAATACCCAGAATTCTTCAAACCCCTATCAACACTTCCGAATTTCTGCTGGGAAAACCTGCTCTTACTGTCATTTAGACTTGCATACCTGACACCTGCCATTTGTTATTTTTCTTGCTTTTTTTTTTTTGAGATGGAGCTTTACTCTGTCACCCAGGCTGGAGTGCAGTGGCGCCATCTAGGCTCAGTGCATCCTCCACCTCCCAGGTTCAAGTAATTCTCCTGTCTCAACCTGCCAAGTAGCTGGGATTACAGGTGTGCACCACCACGCTTGGCTAATTTTCGTATTTTTAGTAGAGATGAGGTTTCGCCATGTTGCCAGGCTGGTCCTGAACTCCTGACCTCAGGTAATCTGCCCACCTTGGCCTCCCAAAGTGCTAGGATTACAGGTGTAAGCCACCATGCCCAGGCTTTTAAATCTTTTTTATTATTTTTATAAAGATGGAGTCTCACCATGTTGCCCATGGCTGCTCTCAAACTCCTGGGCTCAAGCGATCCTCTTGCCTTGGCCTCCTAAAGTGCTAAGATTACAGGTGCCCACCACCATACCAGCTGGCTTTCTTTTTTAATGAACTGCTTTGTGTCCTTTGTCCATTTTTTCCATTCTGAAATAATCTCTATATTTTGTATTGATATGTAAGAGCTCTTTATACACACACGCACATAAATATACATTAAAGTTATCAATCTCTTGCTATATAGGCTGTCAACTTTCTCCCATTTTTTTGACCTTCACATATTATGGAATAGTCATCTCTTTCTAACAGCACTCTGGTTTCTACGTCAGTTTATCTCTTTCAGATCACTGCATACACTTAACAATGCTGAAGTGTTAATCAGTCCTATTGATTCTGATTCTTGGGCACTCCCCATGAGCCTTGCAACTTTTGGCTGGCTTCTCTCCATCTTCTCTCCCACAAGGGGTCCATCATAGCACTGTATTCTAGAGTGTGGGTGCCAGGAGGGCAGAGACTCTTCTTTTTTTTTTTGAGACGGAGTTTCCCTTTTGTTACCCAGGCTGGAGTGCAATGGCGCCATCTCGGCTCACCGCAACCTCCACCTCCTGGGTTCAAGCAATTCTCCTGCCTCAGCCTCCCAAGTAGCTGGGACTACAGGCACGCGCCACCATGCCATACAAAAATTAGCTGGGCATGGTGGCGCGTGCCTGTAGTCCCAGCTAATTTTTGTATTTTTAGTAGAGACGGGGTTTCACCTTGTTGACCAGGATGGTCTCGATCTCTTGACCTCGTGATCCACCTGCCTCAGCCTCCCAAAGTGCTGGGATTATAGGCGTGAGCCACCACGCCCGGCCGCAGAGACTCTTATCACTGGTGCATCTACAAAAGCCCCCAGTGTGGTACATATTTGATGGATGAATAAACAGCTAGAACCACCTCCTTACCGGTCTCTCTGCCCCTGTAATATACTCTTTCTACTCTAGCAAACAGATTGAACTTTTTTTTTTTTTCTCCTGAGACAGGTCTCCCTCTGTTGCCCGGGCTGGTGTGCAGTGGTGCCACCGTAGCTCACTGCAGCTTTGAACTCCTGGACTTAGGCGATCCTCCCGACTCACCCCCAAGTATCTGGGACCACAAGTGCACGCCACTACACTTTGCTAACAGACTGATCTTTTAAAGATACAAATCAAATTATGCTTCCCAGCACACTTTAAACTCCCTATCAAGGCCCACCAGGTCCCTGGGATACCGTTCTCCAACAATCCACCCGCCCTCTGCACCAGGAACCCAGGCCTTCTCTGTTTCTCAGCGGTGTCTACCGGGGCTGGATGAAGGATGGCTCCTGGTCACACAGGACTCATCGACATCAACTCCAGCATAGGCCAGCTAACGACCCTAACATAGGAGGGTTGCCCTCCTCTCTCTCTAACCCGCTGCACCCTCCTCACAGGCCTCCTTAGCGCCCTCTGAACGTCCTACTGATATATTTCTTTTTTTCTTTTTTTTTTTTTTGAGACGGAGTTTCGCTCTTGTTACCCAGGCTGGAGTGCAATGGCGCGATCTCGGCTCACCGCAACCTCCGCCTCCTGGATTCAGGCAATTCTCCTGCCTCAGCCTCCTGAGTAGCTGGGATTACAGGCACACGCCACCACGCCCAGCTAATTTTTTGTATTTTTAGTAGAGACGGGGTTTCACCATGTTGACCAGGATGGACTCGATCTCTTGACCTCGTGATCCACCCGCCTCGGCCTCCCAAAGTGCTGGGATTACAGGCTTGAGCCACCGCGCCCGGCCTGATATGCTAATTTACACAATCTCTCAACAGAAAGGAAGCAGGAGGACGGCAGGGACCCCGACAGTCCTCTGCTCGGCGGCGGAACCCGGGGCGTGGAGGGGTGGGGAGAGCTGGGCCCGGCAAGGCGCTCCGGAGCGCCGCCCCGCTCCCTCCCGGCGCACCTGGGCCTCGTCGCTCCGGCGCTCCTCCCAGTCGCGGCAGCTGGCCAGGTCGCGCCGCCACTGTTCGCAGGCGGGCCGCTCGCCGTGGACGTAGTAGTGGTGCAGGAAGTGCCTGGCGCTGCGGCAGAGCTTCCACTCGGCGCGGTAGGCCTCGCAGGGGCGAGGCGGCTGCGGCAAGAGGCGACATCTGAGCTGGACCCGGCGGCCGCGCCCCACGCCCCACGCCCCGAGCCTGTCCTGTTCCCTCCCTCCGGAAAGCCCCGGTGGTCCCCGGCTCCGAGCACACTGACCTGCCAGCTGCTGCACTCCGCCATGTCTGGGCGACCAGCGCGCCAAGCCCGCCCCCTCAGTCCGCCAGCCAATGAAGAATGAAGAAAGCGGCCGTGGTGTTCAACTGACAGAACGAATGAGCACCTACGTGTCCAATGACATCCTCGCCCCGCCTCTCCGAGAAGCGCCGACACGCAGGACGAGCAGCCAATAGCAACAGAGGGCGGCTGCGGCGCGCGTCAGGCGGGGTGGCAGGTTAAGTCCGAGGTGCAGCTTGACGCGGTGCCTGCGTGGCCAACGCAACAGCAGCCATTCACCCCAGGCCAGGAGGGCATCCTGGGCCTCGCAGCCACCCCGAAAACTTGATGGCTCTGGCCAGTTCTTTTCAGCAGATTTATGAGATTTTTTTCAAATCTCAACAATCCGGTTTATTTTTTTTTTCTTTCTTTTTTTTGAGACGGAGTTTCGCTCTTGTGACCCAGGCTGGAGTGCAATGGCGCGATCTCGGCTCACCGCAACCTCCGTCTCCTGGGTTCAGGCAATTCTCCGGCCTCAGCCTCCCGCGTAGCTGGGACGACAGGCGTGCGCCACCATGCCCAGCTGATTTTTGTATTTTTAATAGAGACAGGGTTTCACCATGTTGACCAGGATGGTCTCGATCTCTTGACCTTGTGATCCACCTGCGTCGGCCTCCCAAAGTGCTGGGATTACAGGCGTGAGCCACCGCGCCCGGCCTCCGGTTTATTTTCAAAAGTTCATACTGAGCATCAAGTCGGGGCAGCGAACCTCCCAGGTCTACAGCTCCAGCGGTCTCACCTTAGCGACCCGTCCACTTAGGATGGAGGTGAACTCGCAAAGTAACCGAGGTTGGTTGGGCATGGCGTGTGTTGGGGCAGGTACATCTAGGGCTGGATACCCGCCCCAGGGAACGCAGGCTTGAAGTGGAGGCTGAGAAGATCGGAGCCCGGGCTATGGCCCGTCAAAGGCGGTGTGTAGCACGGGTGAGCGGGGCAGGAGTGGCTTGGATATCTACAGGCTGTCTTCTAAGGGTGCAGGAGTCATGGAACATTTACCTTATTTATTTTTCCAGACAGGGTCTTGCCGTGTCACTCAGGCTGACCTGCAGTGGTGTGGCGTGATCATGGCTCACTGCAGCCTTGAACTTCTGGACTCCAAATATCTGGGACCACAAGCATGCACCGCCTCACCAGGCTAATTTATTCGTTTATTTATTTATTTTGGTAAAGATGGGGTCTTGCTGAGTTACCCAGGCTAGTTTGGCCTCAAGCGATCCTCTCACTTTGGCCTCCCAAAGTCCTAGGATTAGCACCCACCTGGGTGGAACATTTATACAAAGCAACGCACAAGAGGCAACAAAGGCAAAAGGAGGCTGGTGGGCTTGGAGAAACGCCCTGCAATACCTATGCAGAGGTTCTCCCACTTCAGTGATACAAATCCTCTACTGAGGAACCAGTTGCTGGGCCAGTAGCAGGAATGACACTGTGACAGACTCCCTGGAGGTGGATCATAAAGCTGCAGTTTTACCAGGGGTCCTGCTGTTAAGGCAGCTGGCTCAAGGATCAGGTCCAAAGAAGACATTGAGAGGAAGGCTGCAGGCCAGGGTGTAGGAGTAATTCCCAAGATCAGTGCACCAACTGGCCCCACTGTGTCATTAAACTGCCCTGCAATGGAATCCATCCTGGTCCAGGCAGGGGAGTGTGTCTCCAGCAACGGACCAGGCGTTTCACTGCATATGCAGCAGGGGTTGCTTAGTGAAGACAGAAACCCAGAGCCAGAGGTACTGTAACATTCTTCATTATGCATAAAATGACGTTTGTTAGCTGATGTGATTCTGCAAATGAATCTACCCACCAAGGAGGGTTTCTCTCTCTGCTAGTAAAACTGAAACCTTGTCATTAGAAGGTCAGGGAAGTCCCCACAGTGCTCACATCTTCCAAAACCACACCTACTTCCAGTGGTGATGGTTTGTGCCACAGGCCAAGTCCTGAACATCATGAAGCTCAGACACTCTTCACTGAAGACCTGTGGACAGACCCTGGGGTCACCATCCTCTTCTCTCTGGAGCCCAGACCAGAACAGGACCCCCATGTCTAGAAGCAGAGTCTGACCAGAACAGGACCCCCCAAGTCTAGAAGCAGGGTGAGCCCTGGCTCATGGGGGACCTTGCTGGGCTTGGCCATTGCCACCTAGGGATCAGGCAGCTTTGTTTCTTCCTACTTTCTCCAGGAGAAAACTTTTCTAATGGTGACATGGAGCCCAGGGCACCTGCCAACAGGCCTTCCTTCAGTCCTGGTCAGAGGCCCAACCACCAGTCTGTCTTAGTACCTAATCAAACATTTAGATTTAGACTTTAGATATTGCCTGTTTTTACTTGAAATTCTTGACTTAGAATTATTTCCAATGGGGCCAGGTGCAGTGGCTCATGGGAACAAATTTAAAATAATCAGATTAGCATGTCAAAAGATCTCACGTTATAGAAAGTGAAGATCTAAGACCAAATAAATACTGATCAAAAATAAAGACAGGCCAGCAGAAGCTTGGATGATTTAATAAATTAAAATTGGGAGTGGGGGAGTAGGATAGAAGGAAAAAGAAGAACATCTCTTTAGCATTTGTTCATTCTAACATTCACATGTTTGCTTCTCCACGGAGTTGTTTCACTATGAACAGGTTCACTAAGGAGCCACTTATGTCCATATGAAATGAGAATAAAAGTGCAAACTCTTTCAGATCAAGTTCTGAGGAGTGGTGCTTTTGAAAAAAATATGTAAAATAAAAATAGAAACATTCTTTGTCACATACTTAAATTGAAGTCACAGTAGTGGGACCGCCACTATTTATAGAACACATGTCTATTTAAACCCTTTTTTAGGCCAAAGACTGACACCTATGCAACTGACCTAGGAAAAGAAAAGGTTTAAGTGAAGAAAGAGAAAGAACACTTCATGTTAGACAATTCAGTCACCTCCATTGGTTTTGACAGAATTAGGGACTCAGAATTGCTCCTACCGAGGCAGTGGGAGCCCCCCTCAAGCTCAAAGCATGAAGAGGTAAGGAGGCAGCTGCCTATAGGCCCTCAGGGACAGCTCTTTTTCCCCCCGAATCAAGCATACAACTACAAAGTCCTGCTGCTCCACTTCCCAGTCAAACTTGGTAAGTCTTAGGTAATTCTATATAAATCTTAAGTAACAGCATTCTCTGATGAGGCTCGTCCCTGTCAGTGCCAGTAACTAAAAGCCAAGATGTTGCAATGCATTCTTTTATTATTTTCCAATCAGCCAACAGTCCTCACTTAGGGCTTTCTTCCCTTTTTACGCAATGACTGTCCTTCTCCAGAGAAAGCGACGAATCTGCCTCCAGCTTCATCCTAGGTATGAAGAGAAGATACTATTTTCAGAAACTCCCTGGAGGTTTACAATAAATACCTTACTCTGTGGACTCATGTACCACCCACATTACTCATAAGAAATGTCTCAGGCTGGGCACGGCAGCTGACATCTATAATCCCAGCACTTTGGGAGGCCAAGGTGGGAGGATTGCTTGAGTCCAGGAGTTCAAGACCAGCCTGGGCAACATAGTGAGACCCCATCTCTACCAAAAATAGCTGGGTGTGATATGTGCCTGTGGTCCCAGCTATTTGGGAAGCTGAGATGGGAGGATGGTTTGAGCCAGAACTGTAGTGAGCTATGATTGTGCCACTGCACTCCAGCCCAGATGGCAAAGCAACAGGGCAAGACCCTGCCTCAAAAAAAAAAAACCAAAAGATTATCGGTAAATTCACCACCCAAAGACAACATTTCAGGTCGCCTTTCTGTACATGCTTATAGAAACTGTTTTCCCACTTAATACTGAAGTCTCATGCCAATGAACTTCCTAGCTAGTATACTCCCAAGGCTACAGAGCTGAATTCTGTAGAAAAGAATTCCATCACGTAAGAGAGCCAGTTTTCGACCAGTGGCCATTGCTGTGGTAAGCAGCTTAATATGTTTGCATACAGCTCTGATTTTTTTTAAGAGTTCAAATTCCTGGGCCAAAGTATGTACACATTTTTAATGCTTTTAACATATGGAGACCAACCAGCCCTCAGAAACATTTTACTAAGCTATCCTTCCAACAACAGAAAGAGGACTTGCTTTTTTCCAAGACTTTGAAAACAGCACATATTTTTTTCACATGCTTTTATTGCTAGTCAGTCTGAGGAATTATCTCGACTCTTCCCTAGGAAGAAGACGATTCTGCAATGTTCAACACACATCCCTGCACCTGACTCCCCACCAACTGCATGTCATCCCTGGAGCAGAACACCGTTTAGTATTTACGTGGTGACATTCATGTAAATTTGAGTCACAGCTGCATTTAGTCTTCCTCTGCTGCACAGCCTTCCATTTATCCTGGTGTCAGTAACTGTGTTTGGCTTCTTTCTCTATACATTGAATCACAGCCTACATCACATGGAGTTCATCTGTTTTGACAAAGCTGTGTCTCCTGGGCCTTCACCCTGCTGTACCTGGACTGGCCTTACTCTAGGTGCCATGCATGGTAGTGGGGGCTCCTTATTTCCTGGATTCTATGACTTTCTTATTTCTACTTTATTCTTTCATTTTAGTGAGGGACACCTTCTAGGAGCTTCCTGAGAAAAGATGCATGAAGAGTATCTTGTGAGATCCTTTTTTCTACCCTTATATTTCATTGATAGGCTGGTTGGTATGTTATTCTGCTAGGGCTGCCATATAAAATGCTACAGATAAGGTGGCTCAAACAACAGAAATTTATTGCTCATAGTTTTGGAGGCTAGAAGTGAAAGAGCAAGGTGTCAGCAAGTTTGGTTTCCTCTGAGGCATTTTTCCTTGACTTGCAGATGGATGTCTTCTTGCTCTGTCCTCACATGGCCCTTCCTGTGCCCAAATTTCCTCTTCTTAAAAGGACACCAGAGTGAATTAGAGCCAAATCAAATAGTCTCATTTTAACTTAATTGCTTCTTTAAATGGCCCTATCTGAGTTACTGGGCCTCAACACAGAAACACTGGAGGGACACAATCCAGCTCCTAAGAGCTGGTACAG